GACATGGAGCAAGGAGCTTTCTCTTCTTCACTGCCGTGTAGACACTGCCAAGGAAGGACAGGCCTTTTGGACAGGCTAGGGACACTAGCTGATCCTTATTTCAAGGGAGATGGTATCTTTGTTTTTTCTTCAAATCTTCAAACACAAAGCATACAAAAGAACTCTTGCCAATTAGTTATTCTGTGCCTCAGTTTTCCCATCTGTAAAATGGGGATTATGATCCTTACCTGTTTTGTAAAACATTATAAAATATGCACCACCACTGTATAGGTAGTGAAACAATAACAGGAATTTCTAAAAACACTTTGAAAACTCAGTTTATTGTAGTAAATATGTACCTTTCCTCTGAAGAACAAATCCTTGTAGTTGTACTTTAAGGGATGCATCCATGACCATGCTGTCATCTCAAGTGCTGAATTCAAATATAGAGTTTTTTGTATTGTTAAATATAAAGTATTTCACAGGCGTATTATTATTAAAAACTGAATTGTGAATGTATTAAAGTTGAGACTTATTTTAGAACAGTTTCCAGTGCTTTTATAAAAATGGTAACTGAACGGCTCGGGGAATTAGGTAAGATAAGATAGTCTTTCTCCTTTAGGACATTGTTTTTGGCCAGATTTGAAATGAAGCTTTTTGGAGTTTCCTGTGAGATAAAGTAGTCTGAGTTCTTAATGGGTATGCATCCACATCACAAAAATCACCACACATAATTATCACCTCACCAGCGTGGTTCAGGTTTGAATGAGCCATGTCTCTCTCATAGGAATATTCTGTTCATAGAATCATGGACATCAGAGATGGTAAAGACCTGTCAGGTCATCCTGTCTTTGGTAATGTGGGATTTTTCCTTCAGGTCAGAGTAGAGACATATTGGTGGAGCAGCCTGGAAAAGTTTGTACTACGGCCGCTTATGCTGTGTATGTTCTGTGGATAAACAGAGGGCTTCAGTCTCCAGGGCTGTCATTCAGGGTCCTTTCCTGAGTGTTAAATTCCCTCTTTTGTGCACGGCAGGCAAACCAGAGCAGCATATCACTTGTCACTGTTTTCTCATGTAAATGCCTTGGCTGTTGAATGGTTACTAGGGCGCATACATAAGTGATAAGGCATTAAAGTGTCTTAAATATTGTAAGGTGTTTGTCAGCCTTGGAAATCTGGTACTATGTCTGAGGACCATTTAAAACTGAAATGGTATCTGGTAGGGATGTAAATATCATTTTAAAAAGTACCTGTTTAAACTATTAAAATTATATCAGTTAATCGGTTAACTGGTTAACCGATTCGGGCCTCACAGTGCCTAGGATGGTGTGTCTCCCCTCCCTCTTTGCCCCGGAAAGACGGGGAAGGGCAGCTGCACTCATACTGGGGGTGACACAACAGGCCTAGCCAGGAGCGCCTGGGGCAGTTGAGGGGTCCCAGCACCCCCTCGCATTGTCAGTACCCAGGAAAAGGGAAAGAAGCCCCAGGTACCTAGTTTATCCCGATGCGGCCGCCACAGACGCTCCGTGCCACCCCAGCAGCAGCTTCCCTTCCCTTCAATTATCAGCTGAAACCACAGCACCGACCAGCGCGCCGTCCAGTGGCACAGGCAGAGGCCAGGGACTACTTTACTCCCCGACTGGGGCCCACAGCCTCTGCCTGCCCCCCATGGCCTAAACATGCTCCCCCTGCCTGGCTGGCGACACCCCCCGCGAAAGCCCTGGACTGGCGCTTTGCTCGTCCTGCTTCCCTGCACTACCAGGTGTTTCTTGGCCTAGCGAGTGGTATCCTTCCACCGGGGTCACCCCTCAGGTCAGCGGGGCTGAAGGGACTGTTTTTACCAACAAAGGGGTGTACAGGACCCTCCTCGTCACTGGGCCAAAGACCCCATTGGGCTAGAGTGTTACTATCGACCCAGCCCCTTTAAGAGGGGGCTAGGCTCCCAGTGACCTCTTGCGATGCCCACCCCTTCCTGGTTGCCATAATCACCTCTTGCCGGTGTCCCAAAAATGGCATCTCTGCCCCGGCACCCAGCAAGGACTTCTACCAACTGATCGTCACCTGGAAGGAGGTGGGTGAACAAGGGAGGGTTAACGGTAAGACTAATACTTATCGGTCAACCATTTAATCATTTCATATTTTACATCCCTAGTATCTGGAGGGTATAGGCATGCAGAGAATGACCAGATGGTTGCAAGGGCCCAGACATCTGAGCACAGTTCTGTGCATTTTGGCATCTCTTTCCTCTTGAAGAATGTGAGGTTTCCTCTTTCTTGAAACCTCCTCCAGTTCTGAGAAACTGATGAGAAGCTATTTGGAGTTGCTATAAATATACATTTAAATGCTCTTTGGAATTCTATTAAATAACCTGGAAAGAAGCTTTAGTCCTTTTAAAATGGGAGCTTACTACTAGATGGCAAACTAGTAAAACCATAAATATTAATGGATTCTTTTTTTATTCTAATTTACTCATTAATAACAACAACAACAATAAAGAAATATTGGGCAAATACAGATTGCAATAAAGAAAGGAGATTCCTCTAATTTTAAAATAGTTCTTGAACAGAAGCTTTTATTCAAAAGGGGGCTTTTAAAATTGTATTTTAACTCCCTTTTTCATTGTATCTAAACTTACTAAATTACAATTATTGACGTTTTATTATAAGCTGTCTTTATTACTGCTGCAGATTCCCTCACCAGTCGTACCAGTTCTATCTCTAGCAGTGTGATATAGCTGTGTGAGTGTCCCCTAAACCATTAAGGCCTGCTGAGATCACTGCTACTTTGATATCATGACCTGGTCAATAGGACCAGAATGTTAAAATGTAGCTTTTGAGAGCTGGCATATGACAGTACCTTGGGGCTTAGCTGTTGGGGAGGATATATATTTCACTAGGATGTAAAATAAATACTGAAATATGTTTTCTTCCATTCTTTCCACTTTAGTAATAAGGCTCTTAAAGGGGAAAACAATTGTAATATTTTTTTAATTTGTAGATTAATGAGTAGAGTTATTATGCAGAGTGAATCCAAGGTATAGTTAGGCTTTATGGGTGTATGCTCTATTGAAGTCAACAAGGAGTCCGGTGACACCTTAAAGACTAACAGATTTATTTGGACATAAGCTTTCGTGGGTAAAAACCCAATTCTTCAGATGCATGGAGTGAAAATTACAGATGCAGGCATTATATAATGACACCGGACTCCTTGTTGTTTTTGTGGATACAGACTAACACAGCTACCCCCTGATAATTGTCTATTGAAGTCAGTGGGAGTTTGCCATTGACTTCAATAGAGGCAGAATTTAACCCTCTATTTGATGTGTGTGCTTAAATATAAACGTTAGATTAATTTTATTTTTTCCTTGTATGTAGAGAAGGGTGGAAATTGAATAATTTAAAATGTAACTATAACACTAAATATATACTTAAAATCAAAACAAAACAAATTTAACACAACACCGAAGGAATCCTGGACTTGTGGTCAGAATACCTAGATTCTCCTGGGAGTCAGAATACATGAATTCTCTTTCTGTTTCTGTCATGGACTTCATGTGTGATCTTGAATAAGTCACTTAGCCTTTTGCTTGTGATGCTTTTTGATTGAAAGTGACCCTTTGTATCATTGCTGCTACCACTGTTATACAATTGCCACAACTCTTCTACAAAGTATATCATGTAAGGTGTCAATGGAAAAGTTACCATCTATATAGTACGATTATCATAGTTAAATCCCTGTATCATCTTGGGCTGTAGTCCACGAAAGCTTATGCTCTAATAAATTTGTTAGTTTCTAAGGTGCCACAAGTACTCCTGTTCTTTTTGTATCATCTTTGTATCTAAAGTTATGAATATTGGCTATGTATTTGTATCTCAAATGTGTTTGTTCCTGAGTGACACCTCACAAATAGATTTACATCAAGGCTAGACTGCTATGTGTTGATGGCCCATTAAGGACACTTCACTCTAATGGGCCATAAAAGAAACTTATCCCACCCAGATAGCTGTCCCCAAGGATGCCTCAGGACCGAGGGGCCAGTGGGCAACCCCGGTGATCCAGCCAGCTATGTAAGGACATGTGACCCTGGACTCCATCTTTGGCCAGTCACTTTCCACAAACCGGGGCTGTGGGCTTTGATTGGAACAGTATAGTAAAATTCCAAGCACATGGCAGAGGGTATAAAAAGACACCTGAGACATCTCCTTTTTGTCTTCATTTCCTGTTTCATTTCTGTGGACTGGATTTTTAACAAGGAAGCTCTAAACAAGGACTGATGACCCCCAATCTATTTGGGCGATTCTAGAGAGATTTTTTGCAAGCTAGCAGTTCATTCCATCACTGCTATGATCCTGATCTATGAACACTGAAAGTCACCTGTATGTATATGATCTATTAACCATTCAATAACTCTTCTTTTAGATTATTAAACTTTTAGTTTTTAGCTACTAAAGGATTGGCATCAGCATGATTATTGGGTAAGATCTGATTTTATATATTGACCTGGCTAAGTGGCTGATCCCTTGGGCTTGGAAGAATCCTATATCTGATGAAATTTGGTTTTCAGTAGCCACTCATCATAAAGTTCAGTGTCTTGGTGGTGCTTTCCTACCTCTCATGCATGTTGAGGCTTAATTTCACTGATGTTTGTAAAGTGTTTTAAAATCCTCAGGTGGAAGGTGCTATAGGAGTGCAAAGTATTATTAATAAATAATTATTTGAGTCAGAGACAAAGCATGGAAAATTCCAGCTCGAAAGATGAATGCTTCAGTAATTTGTGCATGTGTGGAAACAAGGGATTGTAATGGAAACTGCTTTGCCACCTTGGTCTGCTAAATTACCAGTTTGGGTAGATAGCCAAAGAATAGATATCTACAGAATTATCATGACAATCAAGGTCAGAGACCTTGCGTCAACTCTAGTGAAAATGATCTCTGGAAATAACTCTGTTATTAGGGAAGGGTTTGCATCTGACCATTCATTTGTTCAGAATCCTATATAATTTTTTGTTTTCTTTTCAACAGAGCAGAAAAGCTACAGTTGCTTAACCACAGGCCAATGACTGCAGTTGAGATACAGCTGGTAAGTTACAGTTCTCCTAACTGCTTAAAATCCATCTATTAATGCAACTTTAATCTTGAAGATCAATTGAATAATCGTTTGCTCATGGTCATTGACCGATAGGACTTCTGTACACATCTTTATAGTCACGTTTTCTGATTATTTGTTTTCTTTCCTCTCTGCTTCCCCTATGAGACCTCTTTATAAGACTTGCCCCTCTTCCTCTCAGAACCCACAGCAGGGGCAACTCTTCACTCTCATGTTTGTGTCAGTGTTTCAGTTAGAGTGACCAGACAGCAAGCGTGAAAAATCGGGATGGGGGTGGGAGGTACTAGGAGCCTATATAAGAAAAAGACCCAAAAATCGGGACTGTCCCTATAAAAAATTCATTTACCTAGGGGCTTCTTCTGTTGCTTTGTAAAGTCAAATACTTTGGAATATGAATTTTGATTTAGGAAGCTACTGTGGTATATTCCTTTTCATTATTTTTCTAAGGTACAGGGAAGGCAAAAATTTGGGAGAGAACAATAGTTAACAATGACTGCCGCTGTGCCTTTGAAGTGACTGTGTAGCATGAGAACTGTACACTGGGAAGCTTTCAGTTGGAAGTCATCCATTATCAATCTGCTGGAACATAACGTTTGGATAAAGGAATATTACAGATAAAAAGGGATAGATCGGTTAAATGTTCTCCAGAGCATCGTGTAAAGAACACAAATGCTGTATTAATAAGGAGATTATTATAACAAGGCTGTTCTTCTAATAAGGCTGTCTTGCATGGAGAACATCTGTTGACAATCTTACCCTGAGACTTGATTGTGTAATAGCAGGATTGTATTCTGTTGCAAAAGGATAAGGGTTAGAAGTGGATGCTAGTAGGATTGCATCCTATATTTCTCACAACCCTTGATAGCAAAGAACTAGAATTTCTAGCAGTAAAAACAGCTGATAGGAGGAACAGTCCCTAGGAACTGCTATTGTCAAGTTTATCTATGAGTTAATTCCACTTTCTGCAGCTGCAGACAAGAGCATGAAGGCTTCACTCGTTTTGTTAGGCAGCTTTTCAGAAGTGAAGAAGTAGAGCCTTCAAATGTTTTAGAGTTTCTCTGTCTTTCTATTAGCTTCCTGCATTGCACTTACAATTCATTAGGTTTCAGCATAGTTCATATTCTGTCTTCTCTTCTTAAAATATACTCATCTTATTGTCACTTTCAAGACATCCTTTGTATTTGACTGCTCCCTCAGTTACTAATTATCTTGTCTGTCCACATCACATAAAGTATCTGTTTATGCTCCAATATCCAGCTGTTAGTTTCAGCTTCCAATCCATGAGGCAGGTGTAAGCAAAATATGACTTTTGAGTTGGAGTAAAGGGACTGCATTGGTACATCATTTGTACCTCAACTCTTTCAAGGTTTAGCAATATAAAAGTTAAAATTGCTCTATTAAAACTGATGGGTTGCGGCAATAAAACAAGTTAAATGCGAATTCACCAATTTTGGTATGTAACCATTCTCTAAGTAACCCAAAGCAACCTGTTATATAATTAGAAATTACTCTTAGGAGGTAATGTAATGTTACAGTTGGCAACTAATCTTGAGTTTATCCCCAAACTGTATCCCAAACTAGACAATAGAGTGAATTAGTGATGTACCTGTGCAAGTTTCTCCAACATCACAATAGGTTTAAGATGAGTGGATTGCTCATATATACACATGGCATTGTGTCAAATTAAGTCAGCAGAAAATTTAAACTACATAGATCCTTTATTAAACTAGTCAATCTTTGTGGAGTAACAAATATTAGGGTGTCACAGGCCATTTTGGGGAAGGTTGCCTTTGGGATCTGTGTAATGAATGGCTGTTTACTGTTAACAAGAGTTAGTGTTACAGCATCCTCAAGCAAGTAGAACCTCCATGTATTTATAAGGAATTTAATACATACAAACAGAAGCCACTGGGAGTTTTGTCATTGACTTCAGGAGGACAAGGATTGTCTATACAGAAGTTTCCATGAAAGCAAGTCTGTTAGCTGGAGTGGAGGATTTGAAAGGCAAAATCTATAGGTAAATTAATATGAACTCTAAAATGATCTTGATTGCACTGTGAACTTTTTTTTTCTTAAAAGCTTTGACTCATCCCTGGATACAGATCTGAAGCAATTGATATTGAACATTTTAAACCATAAGTTTCACAAAAAGCGGGTGAATTAATTCAATTTTAAAAAGAGACACCTTCTGGAACGAATTACAAAACAAGCCACGTCCTCAAAAGTGTGTGTGTGTCTGTGTGTGTGTAATTCCCCCAATTTATTTTGAGTAATTTATGTAAAAGGATATTTAATTCTATTTGTTTCCTTTTTGGCTTCAAGTCTTTTTATTCTCTCCTGTATAATTCCTGCCCTGTAATAGTGCACAAAATATAAATCAGGGTAACTATATTTAATCTAAAAGGCATCTTTCTGTGGTGAGGTATCTTTTTTTGTTTTAATTCAGGTCTTTTTTTGTTTGTCCTCCTCTTGCATAAATCATTCCACTTTGTTTATAGTTGCCTTCTCCAGACTCTGTGCTGAGATAGTTTTTAAAGGATAACAACAAAAGCAGTATGAAATTCTAATCCTTATCCCACTGGATAAAACATTGTATGCAGTACAGCTGTCTTGACCTCTAGGTTTAATCTCAAACATATGTTGTTCATGGCTCAGTGACTCACACAGAGAAAGAAAGAAAGACAGTGATGTTGATCTAACCATGACATGGGTTCCAACTTTATGTAATGCTTAACAATGATGTGTTAGAAGATTGAGGAGCTTCTCTTTAAAGAACAGATTGCTCAACATCTGTCTCTCATTGGAGCAGTAGGTGTTAATTTTACATATTTTAAAACTAGACTTCCACACCTGGGAGTTCACTGCCTCATGGGATCCGCTCCATGCAACCAAACTGGCAGATTGCCATTTATTGTTGACCAGAGAATAACAACACCTATTCCTCTGGAAGATGCAAAAGGCTGGAAGGTTTAAACATTTCGTGTTTAATTTCAAACAATGCACATTGCGTACTTGTCTAGTTTCCTATCACAAGGAGATGAATCCAACCATTCAGCCTTTTGCTGTATTTCTTTTTCTTATGGTCTGTCTTCTTAGTATGTTTGTGCTGAACATCTTAGAATTACTCTACATTTGAGGAAACTGCAGGTATTTCCTTGCTTAAAGTGTCTCCTACATTGGAACAAAAGTATATTGTGATTGTAGCTCTGAGAAGTACCAAAATGCACCTTTCTCTTTTTTGTTATTGATTTTTGCATTTAATACGGCCTTGAAACTATTATCTACAGAAAAACAATAGTGTGCAACCCACAGATTGTTCTCTTCATACATCAAATATTGTTCACCAGTGCAGGGTATTTTAAAGTTTTTTGTATTGTTTATTCTCCAGCATTTGCAATATATATTTGTGGCCCAAATGCCTAAGGAAACAGCCCTTTTTCAGCTGAAAAATATTTTACTCCAATCATATTACAGAATAGTGCTCACTTACAATATCTTTTCTCCTGACTCCTGCATTGAACCTATCATAGTGACCGTTGCTGAGTAGAAGGAGAAAAAACTCGTGACTGTTGCTCCTAGTATTAACATATCCCATTGGAATGTAATAATTGAATTGAAGTATTTGTCTGTGTCAAATGAGAAGCATGATTGACTGCAGCATGGCAATAAATTTGATCTTGTTCGCCACACAATTGCATTTTCCTGAAATAAAAAACATATATTCATATATATATTCAAATGCAAATATATATAAATGCAACTCATATGCTACAGCATCTGCTACAGAGAAATTTTACAATGATTTAGGGTAGCAAAAAGGTGAGTGCTGAAATGCAGTATCATCTTTGGAATTATTTATTAGAACCAGTAGCATGGACACTGTGATTTATTGCATTTCTTCCACTTTGATTTTAATAAGGTTCTTACTCTGAGCCTTGAGAGAGACACATGCCGGTCTGGTTGTATTGGAGAGTGTTTTTTAACATGTACCTTCTGTTATTGTAATGCCAGGTGCTTTCCACTAGTCACATGAGGCTTTTTTAAAGCCCACCCGTATCTCCAAACATAGTATAAACAAGGAGACCATAATAAACATTAAAAATGTCAGTCCAATTGAAATGTTGGCTGACTATGCCATACAGTCTCCACATGGCATCATTTGCTGAGGTAATCTATCTCCATTTGGATTGTGTGGTCCTGCCAATAAATACACTATATATAATTCATTGACAAAAAAAATGTATTTTATTTTCCCCTAGCTTAAAGTTTTGCATGCCCTTCTGCTTAGAGTTTGTTGCTTTTACAACTTTAGCCAGTTGCAGGATAGAGGTTAGCAGGACTGCTTTATAATCCATAAGTGATTTGGTATTTGTTCCTTTGTGAAAGTTTAGTTATAAATGTTAGTACTTAAAAGGTTTGTTTCTTTCCCTCCTTCTGTGGTTTTTCCTTCTATATTATTTTTTCTGTGAGGTTAGTGTTTCCTCAGTAATCAGGGAGCATTTTGTCTTATAATTGTAAATCAGGAACCTGTGTGCAAATCAGAAGTGTGCTAAAGTCTGGTGCACTTAGAACGAGCCACTGAATCTCCTTCTGTTTCCCTGGTTTGATGTTTTTATTTGACTCATTTCCACTTGTCTCTTTATCTGTATCTCGTTCATGTTTAATCTTTTGCATGTCTTCTTTATCTTGTTACTTTGCTGTTTTCTAACTGCATAAAACATTTCATGTCATTACACTTGCTGTTTCTTTTTTTTGGAGGGGAGAAGGAAATCTAATTTTCTAGTTTATTCTTTTGTTCCTTGAGCCCTTTGGTTATACTTCACCTCTGCAGAAACATAGACCTCAATAGCTCGCGCTCAGCCCATCCCAAACACAAAGACTTTATCCCATTCCAATATATATGTACTTCTAAAGAAGAACAAGGGTGCATGCTTAAGTCACTGTTTGGAATCAATCCGTCCTGCAAGATTTCCTTATTCAAGTATTACTATTAATGTCAGCATGACTATTCACATGAGGAATTGCAACAGGATTAAACACTACAGTTTACCAAATGCAGCCACATTCTGGACAATTAATGCACTATCATTAGCACTGAGAATGAATCATTCAATCTTAACTAGCTTTGACTCTCTAAGAGGCAACAGGTCTGTCTTTGTTGTATGTTTGTACGGTGCCTAGCACAATAGGGCTCTGGTGCTGCAATAATACTTACTAATTGATAATATAACACTATAATCTGGTGCAAAACCAGGTAGACTACATTCTCTCTCTCTCTCTCTCTTGCCAGCACTGTTAGTAATAGGGTGACAGGTCAGTTGTTTGAATTTAAGCCTTTTCAGTTGCTTTAGCAAGGAAAAGTAAATTGAAAAAAGTTTTGAGGATCTTAATTTTGGATTTAGGTGCCTAAAATCCCTTTGTGGATCTAGCTTACTGTGTCAACAGATATGAATGACCCTCAAAATATAATTTATAATTTCCATGGAAATTTTACTTCAGGAAAAAAGAATTAGAAGTATGACAGTCTGGAAGTGACTAGTTAAGAGATGCGGCCATTTTCTTCCTGCCATATATTTCTCCAAACTTGCTATCAACCCATGCAAGTTACACCCTGCCACGTTGCCTGTGCTATATCCCCTTTTGTTGTGTTCTAAAGTAATAATATGTTGTTGGATGTATACAGGAGAATTAATATACTGTTCACTTTTTTAGAGCTAACTGTTTCAAAATTAAGTACTTAGGGTGCCTTCGCATATGGCAGAGCTCCCTATGTTTTCTGCTAGTGCACTGTGTTGAATGACTAGTAAAATGTTTTTATGAATAAAAGGAAAAACCGTAAAGGTGGGATCTTGCAAAGCATTCAGTGTTGGCCTAACTGTTCCCATTGGGAACACTAGGCAAAGATTCCCATTGATTTCAGTCAGAGCAGAGGACAGTGCTGAGCACTCTTAAAAATCCCACCCTAAATGTTCATATTTCTACATTTAAAAATAACAAACAAAACCTAAAAGGCATTCCTTTCCTCAGCAGGCTAACCGGAAAAAAAAAAAGGAAATTTGGAATCTCTATACCAAAGACAATGTTTGCAAAAGCACCCAAGTTCCTTTTTCAAAAATGATCTAAGCGTTTAAGCGCTTAAAGCCTATTTATTTTAGGCTCCTAGGTTCCTAAATCACTCAGGCACTTTTGGACCTTGGACCAATGTTATGCCAAGTCATGTTAGAGAGGTCCTGAGCCCAAAGTCTTAGAAAAATGTCCAAAAGAAAACTTCTGCCAAATGTTTATAAGACTATAACTTTAAAACTGGCTCATTTTTACACTTTTACTTTAAAAATACCAATGTACCTTGGGATGACATATGGAAAGTGACATTTTAGAAAAATAAGTTTCTTTTTGGAGAAGTTGGGGGGTCTTACAAATCTGGCTTATAGTGGAGAGCTAGTTCCGATCATAACTATGGAGCAACTATCATTCTGCAGTACATTTTTATCAAAAGGATTCAGCTTTTTACAAGCAAGTTTGCATATCAGACAATGTGTAATGTCCAGTGAATGCAGCATCTCCTAACTGTGTAAATCTTCGCTCTGGAGGTGAGGGAGGAAGTGTGGATTTTACAGTGACAGTAGGTTGTTTTGGATTTGCAGATGGTAGAGGAAAGTGAAGAAAGACTAACAGAAGAGCAGATTGAGTCACTTCTTCAGACAGTCTCCAGCGTTCTTCCAGGGAACCCAGCGGAAGAGCTGCAGAAACAGGCGACAACGGCAGCCGAAGAAGATGATGACCCAGAATAGACAGCATCTGAACCTAAGTTGGCAACATCATCAAAAGCTTCATGAGAAAAGAACCAGCTAAACTTTTTGATTGCAAAGACCATGTCTGGGGTTTTTCACCCACGGCTTAATCTTGTGTGACATCACTGTACAGTATATTAATGTTTTATTGTATAAATCATGAGAGCAACAGTTGTTTATAAGAAACATAAATCAAAGGAGAGCTCTCATGTCAGCCTTTTGTGAGATGTGAGAAAGATAGTAACTGGCTTCATAACACAGCAGTTTGTGACATAGTGAAAATAAACCTTATACTTGAATATTCTTTTTTTCCATTACCCATGTAACAGCTGTTCTTTTCTGAGTAGGGTTATATGCAGCTGGCAATGTTCTAATTAGCATAGCAATACACTATAATTATAATTGATTTAATATGTTTTTGAATTACTCAACTGTTTTCCAGAGTGCAGTTTACAATGCAGTGTCCATTCTGTGTGGAAGAAGCTATTTCAAGGTATCGATACACAGTTAGAATAAAGTTCAAAAATTGTTTAATAGCCATATAAGATCAGTAGTAATAGATCCTTATAACTACTAATATCTTTAGGGTTATACCATGGAAGTGGAAGGAATGTAAAGGCTGTATCGATATGGTAACTAGTCTCAAGGACACCTCTGATATGACCCTATGCTTATTTTAAATACAGGGCCAGATCCTCAGCTGATTTAAATGGACAGAATCCCACACAGTCAAGAGAGCTATGCTGATTCACACCAGTCGAGGATCTGGACGATAAAGTTCGGGTTTTCAGTAATGCAAACAAACAAAAAGTAGAAGTATAAGGCTGCTTTTTTTTTTCTTTTCTTTGAATCACCTGTTGTCTAGGTCTTACATGTAGAAGATTGCACAGTCCACATGAGCTATGCTATCAGGGCACAACTGGGTGAGTTAATGATGACACGAGAGCCTTAACTATGAATTTCCCTATTTTGTTTTTAGAAGTTTAACGAGGCTCAGTCCTTGCTCAAGCAAAACTTCCACTGAAGTCAACAGGAATTTTGTCTGACCACAGACTACAAGATCAAGCACTTAATGTTGAAAGTGTCAGAGATCGTTAAATCACAAATCGTACATATATGGTAACAGGCCACGCTGTTTCTTCTTATGCTATGACTGCAAACAAAAATTGTACCAATCATTATAATGTGTTAAAAGCCAAAATAAAAAGTTTGAAAAAACTCCTAGGAATTTCGTGGTTGATAGCAGTGGGAGTCAGAATATCTGATTTCTGTTTCCAGCTCTGTCACAGCCTTCCTTTGTGACACTGGGCAAATAATTTACCATTGTTCTGCCTCAGTTTTCCCTTATGTGAAGTAGAACAGTAATACCTGCTTCACAGGAGTGTTGTAATGCTCAGTTCATAAATATTTGTAAGATGCTTTGAGGTACTGAGATGTAAGGTGCTATTCAAGTAGAAATTATAAGTACTACACCTCTACCCCGATACAACGCTGTCCTCGGGAGCCAAAAAATCTCACCATGTTATAGGTGAAACCATGTTATATCGAACGTGCTTTGATCTGCCGGAGTGCGCAGCCCCTCCCCCCAGAGCGCTGCTTTACCATGTTATATCCGAATTTGTGTTATATCGGGTCGCGTTATATCGGGGTAGAGGTGTACTATCTTTAGGAAGTAAATAACTATATATCAGGTTAATAAATTCTAAGGCTGAAAGCCAAGGCGTGTTTTAGCACAAGATATAGTGATTATGGTGTTAAAAGGAAAGGTCCAAGGTTTTTTTTTTCTTGTTAAATACATGTAAATATTCATAGTAGAGGGTGGAAGGGAAGCCCTCCAAAATAGCTAATGGACTATCAGACTACTGAAAGATACATTTTAAAATTTGTTTTAAAATTAAACTTTTGGGTTCTTACGGGTCATTACTGGTGCTCGACAGCTTGCAGGAATGGGCAATGTCTATTAGAATGTATTGTATTTTCTAAAAGCGAGCTCATGAAGTGTCATTATAAAGCTAACAGAGCAAACAGAAGCAAAATCACAAGTCCCTTTAAAATATAAGTGAGTATTTTCACCGCTTTCTTCAGCTGGTTGTTCCACGTCGGAAATTGTTGATTTGTTATCATAATATATATGCCAGCGTCAGTGTGGTTTTATGTTGAAAGTTGAAAATGTGTTGTTTGGATTTCTAGTAAACTGCCCTTTTACTACATTATTTAAAGTATTTAACAATAAATCACTTCCAGATGAATAAAAATATGTACTTTTGTACAAATACAAGAATAGACTACTTATCTCAATGAAGACACAAAAATGATCATTTTCCTGGAAGTATTTTGCCGAACGATATTCTGAGAAAGATTATATAGGGTTTCAACATCTGCATTGCATTAAGGAATTTTGTTTTAACCTGCTGCCTGTATTTTCTGGATGCACAAATACAGGCGGTGGATTCTGAAACTATAACGGCTCTTGTTTCATGCTTGTTTGCACTCTGATTGGTTACTTGGAAGCCATGATCCTGAGACTCAGAAATGGTTTATGGAAAACAAATATTACTTCATATGTGATGATATCTTCTGGTGTGCTGTAAGTTACATGAAAGAGCTGATTAGTATCTAAAGCCACTTATTTTTTTACTGCTAATCTGTTATCTAGTACTGCAAGTGCATGCTGGGTTATAAAACAGAGCAATACACATTCCCTGCCCCCAAAAACTTACGCTCTGAGGCCCTGATTCAGCAAAGTACTTAAACATTTGCTTAACTCTAAGCATTTTTATAATCCTATTGACTTTAATGAGTCTACCCACATTATTAAAGTTAGCCACATGCTTAAGTACCTTGCTGAATCTGGGCCTGAGAGACCGGATGAAACATATCACAGAAGTTTAGGTAAAGGATGGTGTGGAGGAAATACTGCTGCAGAAAATAAAGTAGGACTTCTGAAAGAGGAGGATTTTGAAGAAAGAAAAGAGAGGGAGCACTTAATAGAGAAGAATTTGGTGGATGTTTCCAAACAGAGGGGACAGCACGAAAAAAGGCATGAAAACGAGAGTGAGATGGTGAAAGGGACAGTAAAGGGAGAACTTGGGAGAAGGGTAAAAGGAAATTAAAGCAGAGGTGTAGGCTCTAAGGTTATGTAGTGTCTCGAAGGTGAGGATGGGTTTGACATTATTGCTGTAAAAGGCAGCAGGTTAGTGAAGGGATTCAAATTGTGAGGAGATGAAGTTAACTGTGGTCTAGAGTGTTCTGGATAGACTGGAGATAGGAGGGGCCAGAGACTTACAGTAGTCAAAGTGAAAAATGAGCAAGGCTGTGGACAAGAGCCTTAGGAGAGGGGCTAGAAAGAAAGTGGAATAAAAAATGACAGTGATCTTGTATTACGTATGTTCTGAGATTGGATTTTTATGTTTCTACAGAAACTGATATATCAATTAATATAGTGTGTCGGGTAATGCATTTATCGCTCTACAAATACTTTACCTTCTAAACTGACCCATCCAAGTGCAACTAAATGTTGGTTCAGAATGCTGCTGCAAAGATAATTTTTCTAGCCCAGTGCCTTGACCATGTCACCCCTCTCCGTGCATCTCTTTACTGGCTCTCTCTTCTCATTGGATCCAGTGTAAGCTGCTTTTTTCCCTACTTTCCACCCTACATATGCATCTCTCATTTGCTACTGAGATGTTGACTTTTGCTGCCGGTGATGCTGCCACCACCCACTTATTAAATTTTCAAAAAAAACCCAAACACCTTTTGTGCTTTCTCTTCTGCTCCTGATGCTTGGGAGCAGCCCGCTCTAAAGATCCCAAAAAACTAGCATCATCTTCCTTCCAAACCCTCCTCAGAACTGTCCTTTGCCACGATGCCTACAAAAAACTTAACGGGTAGATAGCTGCTATCTTGAGATCACTGCCTGTCATGCTGACCAATATTGTGTCATTGTTTCCTTGCACACCCACATCTGTCTGTCAGTGTTTTGTCTCTGTAACAGCGTTGGCACCCACCTCTCACGAGTACCCCCTTCTGATGGGGCGTGTCTGCGTTCTTTAGGTCTGGAGACCCCTTTCAGTGGTTCTCAGGTGGGTTTTCAGTGACTCCGGCTGAGTCACACTGTCTGCACATTAGCCAGCACAAATCCCTTCTGGGGTATACAGTCCACAGGGCCTGTCTCTCTTTAACCCTCCTTGGGCTTTAGTCTTCAAGTAGTCCAGCCCTGGTATGGGGCTGTATTCCCAGGGCATCTTTCTGTAGCCCTCCACACGCACAGTTCTTACTCAGTCCCTAGCAGCCAGCCAGGAGCCTCTCACTCCCCCGGTCCCTGCCAACAGGCTTAGCTGTCTGTAGTCCTGCTTCTCTTCCAGGGAGCCAGACCTGCAGCCAGTTCTCCTCCTGCTCCATGCAGCAACTAACTACTGCTCTGCTCTGCAGATCCTTTTATATGGCCCTCCTGGGCCCTGATTGGCTGCTTCCTCTGCAGCCACTCTAGCCTGCTTGGAGGACCTCTTCATTGCTCCTTTCCTGGGATGGGTGTGGCAGAACCCTGAGGCCTCCAGCAGGGGCCTTTGAGCCTAGTCCACCCCATCACACCCTCACACTTGGATTGTAAGCTCTTTGGCGCACAGACCCCTGTTTGTTCTGTATTTGTGCAGCACTTAGCATAATGAGGTCCTAGTTTCTATGGTAATACACATAATAAACTTGTTAAATCATATGTAAATAATAAAAATTGCTTGACAGTAGAAAAGCTGGGTTGCTGTAATATATAAGCTAGAGGACTAGAGTTAACAATAGCAAGGACGCACGTATTCTCTAGATATGTCTACAAATCATCATAGAAGTTAGAGGAAGAAATATTATTAGGACATCCAGTCCATCACCCTACTACTAAGGTATGTTTTATCTCTCTCTGATTCTTATAACAATATCTCTGAGCTAGGCACATTTACTTCCCTCTCACAAAAATCTGGCACTGACATGCTTGTTACAATAAGTTGCCATTAAAAACACTGAGGGACAGATTTTCAGAATTGTGTGGTTAGTTTTGTGTACACAATGACTGCTTGGGTGTACAAATTGGTATTAGTGTGCTCAAATGTCTAGCTAGGTATGTGCATGTATACGCAAAGCACACAATTGTACGAGGAGTTCTGAAAAATGTGGTCCTTAATCTTGAAGGTATAGGAAACGGTATACATCCTAACGAAGCACATCCCATATCATTTCTAGCTTCTTCCCCTGCAATATTTTTTAGGCAATATTCCTCATTTCTGTTCTTTATCTCACAAGTGGGCCTTGGAAGATTGAAAGCTCTGGTTGTGACAGCACTTAGGCTGTAGAAACCTCTCTCTTGGAGAGTTTTTGATTTAACTGTCAAAAATCCTCTTGCATTTTGGTATTTTAAAATAGAAGACTAAAACCAGAGACCAGTTGACTGGCCACAAACCTTAGTATGTGTGCTGCATGTGAGTTCTGCTAGCCTTGTAACTTGCATAGTTTATGTTCTGAGGGATAGTATAGTATGAGGGAAAACAACCTGATTCATTTACATGTCAGTGCCCATCCAAAGGCTGAGCTGTGCATTTATCACAACATTGATATGTTAGACGGGAAGGACTGAAATAAGATCGGTGTTTAGTCAATGTCTGTGTTGCTTCTCCTCTCCCATTATGTGCACAATATCTTCCCTTACAATTCTTTGACCCAGAGGTTGAAAGATGCTTTGCATTCCAGCTAGGAGTTGAATGGCAGCATGGTCTAATAAATAAGGCATTGAATAGGCCACAGAAGACTTGGGTTCTAATTCTTGACCTGCTGTGTGATCTTGGGCAAATCACTTTACCCCTCTGTGCCTGTTTCCCTTTCCACCCTTTATCTGTGTTGTCAATTTAGACTATACCTTTACCCCGATATAACACGACCCGATATAACACGAATTCGGATATAACGCGGTAAAGCAGCGCTCCGGGGGGGCAGGGCTGCGCACACCAGTGGCTCAAAGCAAGTTCGATATAATGTGGTTTCACCTATAACGTGGTAAGATTTTTTGGCTCCCGAGGACAGCGTTATATCGAGATAGAGGTGTATTTAAGCTTTTTAAGATGATCCTTTTCTTTTTGTTTGTACAGCGCCTTGCACAACAGGCCTCAACAATCTCAGCTGGGTGCTCTAGGGACTATCATAATACAAATAAGCCAGGAAACAAACTATTGTATTATTATTAGCAGGAATCCAATGGAAAATCTTTTGCATGAAGGACACTGAAGCTGGGATGCAGCAGAATATTGCATTGTGTCATCTGTTGCATCAGTAACTGCACCCTGAAATCACTGCAGGTGTGTTGAAGATGTCCTGTGATAAAGTCTGCGGGCTTTGCATCTTTGATAATGGTTTCTCTTCCAAAGGAGGCTTGTATGAGATGCCAAGAGCATGACACAGACTTGGTTGACCTCGTGAGTTACTGTTTTACTGTAATATGATCACAGACGTGCACTCACGTTTTTTATTCCATTCAATGGGCCAGATTCATCCCTGCTACCACTCTGCCGACTTTAACTTGGCCCAAAGTCTAGAACAGTTTGCCCGTTTACATTGGTTGGGCCCAGTCCATTGGCGTCAATGGGAACAAGGTTGGAATCTTAGTTTAGTGAGTTAAACTAAGCCCCATTCATGGCTGCATATAATCTAGATACTGGTTTTGAAACACTCACATTTATTCTGTATTGCATTTTCTGTGACTGCGTTCTCTCTCTCTCTATTGTCTCTGTCTCCCTGAGGTAATCTCTCTATCCTGCCAGCTCTAAGAACAGCACATTCTGTAGCCCAATGAATGTTTCACATTATACAAATGAAACATGCAAATTTGTTTAAACACATGCTTTTTAAGAATTGATTTAACTGTAGACTGTTGTCATTTCAATGCTATTTGCAAAACTGTTGATACATCCACGTGCCCCCAGTGGATCCAGTTATAACATGTAATTATTTTCCTTTTTAGGAGCAAGTAGTGTTTCCTAATGGTTAAAGCAGGTGACTCACTGGGAATAGGGATTGAGAGGTTTTGTTTCTGGATCTGTCACTGAGTCTCTGCAACTTGGGACAAGTCTCTCAATCTCCCTACTCCTCTGTTTTCCTTCTGTAAAATAAATATAAGAAGTCATTGGGCTTAATTAGTTGTAAGTGCTATGGGATCCTGCAGTGAAAGGTGCTATAGAAGGAATAACCCTTATTCCAAATAAATCGTATCCTATACCCAAGCTGTTTGATACTTTTAGCCAT